TTTTTTTTTTTTTTTTTTTTTTTTGTTAACCGAAATCATACATAGAGTAATGTCATCTTAGGAAAATATATCATGTACGTATAACTATAACTATATATATATATATCCTCTCATGTTTATTTTTTTAATTAAATATTCTTAATTATTGGACCTTGGTTTTAAATACATAGAAAAACTCTTTCATTAGACGATTTTTATTTCTCTTCTAAAGAATATTTTTTGTCTTTTTAAGACATTATCACTTATTTTAATAGTAAAGCTTATATCAACATATTAGTGCTTAGTAGTGAATACTTTATACTATGCTAATCGCCATTAGTTGTCACATGAGCATAATCTATACAGCAGTAAACACTATGATTCCTAAAACAAATTTAAAGTTGATACATACAGTTAAAGTGACAGTAAAAAATTACATTTTAGATACATATTAATATATATATACAATAAAGGCTTATTGTATATATAATCTATTTAAAGTATATTAACCAAATCACAGCTTTAAGTATTAAGAGAGTGTTTATTCGATATAGTGTGTTCCAATATATAAAAAGTAAAAACTTTATTCTTTAAGAAGCAGCTATCGCTTCAATAGTCTGTACAGATTTAAAAAAATTAACACGAAAATTGAATTTTTATGTATAGGTTGTGGTATGCTAGTTTGTATTTATGCGGCTGAGATTTGTCCTACAACTTACAGACCAATGTTTTTAGCATTAAGTAACCTTATCAGTGGATTGAGTATGTTTATCGCATCAGCATTAGGTAAGTACTTCAATTGGAGAATTATAGCGGCAATTTATGGCGTAATCAGTCTATGTGGTTCGATCGCTCTATTTGCTATACCAGAACCACCTCTATGGCTTAGATCTCGTGGTCGAAACGATGAGGCCAATCGGGCAGAACAGTGGCTTGGCGTAGAATCTACGTCGATAAAGGAGGACGTTGAGATAACAACCAACCCACCTGTTGAACCCTCTAAAGTATGGGCATTGTCCACATATACTGCACCCAATGTATGGAAGCCAACCGTTCATATAATAATCTTAACGCTATTGCAACAGTACTCCGGTATTCACGTTTTGTTGTCGTATTCATCAGACGTATTACGCGGTTTTGGAATTAAAACGGATTGGATTACCATTTCAATGTATCTTGCATTTGCTCGAATAATTGGAAACTTAACATACTTTTTTCTATCCAAAGTTAAACGAAGAATACTGACCATTATATCGGGTTTGGGTACGTTCTCTGCATTGTCAGCAATAACTGTTTATATGTATGCTCCTGAAAATATAAAAGAATCCGTGCATGATAATTGGCTTATTGTTGCGTTGTTTATATTCGTTTTTTTTAACATGTTAGCAATAATGCCTATACCTTGGAGTATCGCTGGTGAATTATATCCTATGCATGTCAAAGGTATATTTTGTTTTTTTATAATTTATTAAGAATATTTAATATGATGAATAATTATTTTACAGGTATAATCAATGCAGCTGTACAATCTGTTAAATACGAGCTACTTTTTGTTGCTATAAAAATATATCCAATGATGGTGTCAAATGTAGGAATTAAAACTGTTTGGACATTTTATACCACTGTATGTTTATTAGCTGCATTTTACGGATGGATATTCATGCCGGAGACTACAGGAAAAACATTGAATGAAATAACAGCAAGTTTTGATCCAAAGAAAAAAACAGTCAAAATTGAACCATTTATTGATTATATAAAATAAAAAATTTTAAGTTTAATTCATTTTATTTCAAGAATAACATTAATGTAGCCATGTTCTATTAATTCAAATGAGCTCGTTGCAAAGCATTGAAAGTATTATTATTTAAATTATTTAATAGTAGTATACTTATTTACTAAATCATAAACACGGCTATCGATATAAAAAAAGTACAAATATATAAATTGAAAAAATGTCTAATAATACGTTAAGAAAATATGGATCCAACCGATTAAAAAAGAATGAGATAAAAATGTTTTATTACAAAAATTCATTGATCATTTATTCTTATAGATTTTTATGTCAAATATTTTATTTCTAAATAATATTTTGAAATTCTTAATAAATTTTAAGTTATTGATTATATTACTCTTAAACTAATACCTCAATTACCTAATATAAAACATAGTAAACAGGGGTAAAAGTTCAATATTGAAATAAATAATTTAATTGTATAGTTATAAGTCAATACTTGATGAATATTTCATCATAGACTATTTTTACATGTGTTTTTGTTACTGCAAAATTGAAATTATATAATTAAATTTTTTTTTGAAACTTTAATCTTATATGTTACTCTTTTGAAAATATTATTCTAAGTTTATAAAATAATGTTATAAGACTTATGCTATAAGAATTTTTTTTTTATTAGATATAGAATATTATTATTTATCAATATTAAGTAATTAATGAAAAAAATTTGATTTGGAGTAAAAGTCCAACAGCTCTAAAATTTACATATTATATTTATTTTGAAACAAATAAGGTTTATACATTAATTTGTTAAATTTGAATAATTAACCTAATAATTTTTGCTTCAATTTCTTTGCAATTATCTTATTTATAGAAAAATTATTTTTAAGAAAAAAAAATTTATACCTAAGTAACTAACTCTTTTTTACATTCATTATAATTAAATGTTATGAGATTGAATTGCAAAATTACTCAATATACGAGGTTTTTTATTGTCACTCCTCGTAATAAACTTTATCATTATTTTGTTATTTTGAATAAACAAAAATTCGTTAAACCATTATTTATTTATATATTTCCTCATTAAAACTTACTTAATACCAAAGATGGGCTTTGATCTTAAAAAGATGTTTTATCCAAGTTAATGGAAATAATTAACTCAAGTTAAGTTAAGAGATAAATTAAATTTTTTTTTAAATAAACTAGTTTAAAAAAAGTTTATTTCATTTAAAATTAATTTTTTGGCTAAATCTTTTGAATTCATTTTTTATTGGTCGGTGATGTAAGAGAAAGCTAAGAATCGATTTTCAGCTTTTAAAGCTGAATCTTCTTTTTCTTTTTCTTCGCCTTAATCCAAACTACTTGAGGTTTATACCCACCACCCTTATACTAAATTTTCACTTGACACGATCTCCTAAATCATCTACGTTTACATCAGCTATCCTTATACCGCATTTAATAACATCCTTCCATCTCTTATTTGATCTTCCTTTACCCCTTCTTCCTTCAACATAACTTCCTATAACTGTTCTTACAGCTTCCAATTCCTCTCTCCTTATAACATGACCAAACCATCTAAGTCTATTTTCTCTCATCTTATTCATGATTGACGCTACATCTACTCCCTCTATCCTCCCTCATTTAAGCATTTTCATCTCTGCTCTATTCTTCTATTCTTCATCTCTTATCAACCACCCAACACTATGAACCATACATCATTTCCGGTCTCACTACAGTCTTATAGAACTTACCTTTCTGCCTCATTAGAATTCTCTTATCGCATAACACACCAGAAGCTTTTCTCCAATTCAACCACCCGCACTTAATTCTGTGTCATACATCCTCGTCAATACCACCCCTCTTTTGCACAACCGATCCTAAATACTTAAAACTCTCCACCTCTCCAATCACGTCCTCGCCTATTGTCACTGGTCTCCTCATTTCACCTACCTCTTGTTCTCCTTTGTCAAACTTGTACTCTATATACTCTGTTTTACTTCTACTTATTCTTAAACCCTTTTCTTCAACAGCTGAAGCTGAAGCTTGTATTTCTCTAGGAATTTCATCCATCACTGTAGAAAGTAAGTAAGGGCTTAAAGCAGAACCTCGGTACACACCTACTTTTACTCTAAAACTTTCTGATACTCCTTCTACACTTTTTACCTTGGTAAAAATGCCATCATACGTATCTTTTATAATATTAATGTACTTTTTCGGTACTTCTTTTCTCATTAATGACCATTTTATAGTCTCTCTCAGTACTCTATCGTACGCTTTCTCCAAATCTATAAATACCATACAAAGCTTTTTCTTTTTTTCTATTTGTTACTTCACACAAAATAATGGCTCCATTGTTGACTTACCAGGCATAAATCCAAACTGGTTTTTAGATACCGATGTCTCATTTCTTATTCTCTTATCTATTATCTTCTCCCAAATTTTCATACTATGACTCATAAGCTTTATGCCTCTATAATTTCCATATTCCTGTATGTCACCTTTACCTAAAATATCGGCATCACATTACTATTCCTCCATTTATTTGGAATTTACCCTTCTAATAAGATTTCATTTAAAAGTTCCTTCAACCACCTTATGCCAACACCGGCTAATATTTTCCATCGTCTACTAAGCACTTCATCTGGTCCTATTGCTTTATTCTTCTTCATTGATGCAACAGCCTCCCATATCTCTTTCTCACTAATTAAATATACTAGTCCTTTGTTCTACGAGATATCCTCCAATGTCTTTTTTGGATATTTCTCATTCAGTAACTTTTAAAAATACTTTTTCCACCTTTTTTCACATAATCATTTGATAGCAATCTACTTTCAACACTATTTATACACCTTACATAGTGATAATTTTTAGACCATTTTTCTCTTACTTTTGCAAATTTCAGACTTATTTTGTCTTTGTCTATCCTATCATACAACTCATCACACCTATTAAACTTAGGAAAAAAATATTAAAAATAACAAAACAATTTTTTATTCGTTTTATACATTTTTGTGTTGGTTGCATTATTTTATCTTAAAAACTAATTATTAAAAAAAATCAGTTAAAAATCATGTACATTTTTGAAAAAATCCAGAAGATTTAACTAATTGTTATAAAAATATATTATATAATATTTGGAGGAGAAATTCCCATTTTTTTAAAAATTAAACAACGTATTAAACAGGGTTTAAAAACATACATTTTTTTTGAAATATTGAATTTATCTCAACTGTTATTTAACTAATTAACTGAAAAAAGCTAAGTTTTTCCAACAAAAAATTTAATTAGTTAAATTAAAAAGTTAATTAGAAAAATAATTAACTAGTTAAGTTGAAAAGATAAAAAAAAAATTAACTTTTTAACTAGTTAATGCCCACCATTGCTTAATACGAACTAGACTTTACTCTATCAACAGGGTTAATGTATGCTTTTATTATTTAATATATTTCTGTTTATTACTCAATAAACAGAGTTTTGGTCTCACTATTAATTTAATTTCTATATTTTGATAGTTTAATAAGCTTAGAAAAATAAAAATTCTGTATAGTTAACATATATATCAAGTTAAATGTAAAAAAAGTTTGTGCTTTTATCACAGGTTACTGTATACTAGTCCTTGAACTAGATTATAATTGCTTTTTTGTTTTTGTACATATAATAATTTGAGACAAAATTAACATATTTTTACAATATCGTACAAACTTTTATAGTGATTAGAATAATAACAGAATATTGAAAATATTCTTTATCTAGAGAAAATACAGTTCAATATTCAAAATATCAAATTTTATATAAAAAAAAATGTTTATTAATATACTACTACACGATATCATATTGTTTTTAAGTTTCAATAACAAACTTTAAAAATGTTTTAAAATGTGTAATGATGAGTTGAAAAAATGAAGTTTTAATGAATGTATTTATATAGTTATAATCTCCAGGACCTGTGACTATCATTCCAAAGATAAATTATGCAATGAATTCAAGACGCCAGTATAATATTAGAAATAATAATATATCTGAAACCATTATAATTTTAATTTTTATATTTTAAATAACTTTAATAGAACAATTTTTATTTAATAGTACTCTGTGTACTTACCCCTATTTTATGTAATTTAACAATATTGAAATTGAAACTCAAGTTATTTACCTATAAAAAAAAATTATTGATGCGTAATATTGAATACTTTGCGTCGTTTTAGTTAAATTGTAACAATAACACCAAGTAAGTGGTTCCTGCAGCAATCGCCTGTTTAAAAAAATTAAATAATACTTTGAGTTTACTAGAAACGAGCGTGTAGTATAGTTGATATCGCACATGCTTTACTGCATTTAACTTAAGTTCCATTACATTGAGTATAAATAAATAGGTTTTTCTCTCATATAAGAGATAATTTACTAAAGATGAAGAAAAGAAAAAAATAATTAACATTATCAACTTACAGAAGTTATTAGGTTGTTATTTAAAGGAATAATATCACATGCGTTTATTTCCATTGTCGTGTTGTTTAATTGATCAAAAAAGAGTTGAAGCTAAATTTATTTACAAAATATTAAAATTTAATCTAAATAAATATACGTAAGACTTTAAAATTTAAGATAAAGATCAATTACTTCTTCTTTTACACTTGAATTCAAGTAACGATTGTTTAAATTTGTAATAAGCATTTTTGATTTGTTCGCCTATAATGAAATAACTCATCATTAGTGTGAAATAATTCTCAATTAATTTATTAATTTCTTATACATAAATTAATTTCAATTTTAATTTATTCAAATTTTAAAATAATTTATGAAATTGATAATACTTTATTTTTAGAAATATATTTCATTAGACTATCACATTTTTTCCTGCTTTCATTTTTTGATCTAAATTCCAATACATCGATTTAAGATATACTTAATTAAAAAAATAATAATATTTCTTAATACCTGTATGTTAATATATTATTTCAAATTTATATAAGAAATATTTTACTAAGTATAATATCAAATGTATTAATCTTTAAAAACATTTAATATAGTTTTATAAAATTTGAGTACCTATTTAATTGATTATACTATCAATATTATACTTTGATAATTGTTCTACTGCAAAAAATAGCTTATTTTGATATTTTGACATACATTTTTACTTCAATCCATAAATACGAAGTTATTGGTATTACACATATTTTTAATAATTGCTGTAGTTATAATTTTAAAACTATTCACCTGCTTCATTGTTGTGTCGGTAGTCATAACTATCATATAAAATCTGTATGAGTATTGCAATAGCCATAAGTAGATATAAATTTTGAATTCATAAACTAAAGTTCGCAGTTTAAAAACTTCGTAGTATATATCGAATAAAGTCTTTATGCTCAGTGCACATAAAGACAAGCACAAAGGTATATTGAATAAATCAATCAAACTGCTTACAGCTTCACGAGTAAGTTGGTGCCTGATTCTCAATTTTTCGACAATTTTCGCCATATCTTCCGATTCTATATAGATACATTTACTAGAAACTTTTACGGATGATGGGTGTCGCCATACACGTGTGCACCAATTGGTTTTAATTTTGTTTTTGTTGTACACATTGTCTTTTGGCCGAAAATCGTTTGAGTATATACCCATTAATTCTTTCAAGTTTTTGTTAATTTTATGAAACATTAATTTTAATTTCCAACATTTCATAACGAAATACCATTCAATGATAGCCATAATCAAGTTTTCAAAGTATATCAAAACGAAAAATATAAGCTTGAAATAGCTATCTTTCTTTTTGTACATCAAAGACATCCACACTAATTTTATCGGTAACATTGTACACAACAAGAAAAATCCCTCTATTATTATAAATTTAAAATACTTATACCGATCTTTTCTAGTCAATGGAGCATATAGTTCATATGCTTCTATATTCATATTATATCTCTCCAATGATGAAGAGATTTTACAAAAAAGTACTAAGCTGGATATAAAGCATGCAGTCGATAAAGCCTTACATAAAATTCTATAGTATGTTCCAAATTCAATATGTGTTTTTTCAAAGGGATTCACATATAAAAGTATGTCTATGCTTATTAAAAAAGTAATTGCGCAAGATAAAGAAACTATAGTTAAGAGTACAATGTAGAATAAATAACTACTTAATTTTAAGGTATTCATAGTAATTTGTAAGTACGATGATATATTACACACATTTGAAGTAGTTGACACTCGGTATTGAATAACATTACTAGACTACCAATTACAAGTTAAAATATAAAATTCTAAAAAAAAAAATGATTTTTTGTTCAATATATTTAATGAAAATTCAAGGAGTACTCTTGTTAAATTATTTTGACACTTCAATGATGTTAAAAAAAATAGTCATTAAAAACATACAATATTTACCAATTAAAATTGTAATATTTAATAATTCATTGTAGCTGGCATTCAATTATGAAAACAAATGAATGTTATTTCTAATATATTAAAACAAATATTCTTATTTTTTTTAATGATACATATTTATCAAATTTTTATACAAACAACCTATTACATCATTTTTATTGTTTTATAATATACAGTATATACGGTACAGTCTTGTGAGCTATTGTGAGTTAATTGTAGATCAATAATACAATACCTAGTAACCAATATATAGGTAAACCTTTATATACATTTACTAAATTAAGAGCTGGTAAGTTGTTTGCTTTTTCTAATTCATCACATGCTTTTTTATCAAATGTATTATTTTCTAAGTTTTTCAAGTCGATAATTAATCATTATTAGATATAAAACACTTTAATGAAAATATGTATGATGTAAAGTTTAATTATTCCAAAAATTTAGCTTTAATTTGAATAAGCAAATCAAAACGATTAATAAGTAAAGGCTAAAAGCATATCAAAAACAAAATTATTTTGGGAGGAAAGGCTAGTCTTTTACTCAATTTATAAATATGAAAAACTTAAAATTATAAATTGAAAGTACAGGGCGGGGCACTGAAACGGACGATTTTAAAAATAGATTTTCTCAATAGTAATTATGATAAGAATTCTCACTAAATATTATTAGTTCAAAAACAACATGCCTTTTAGTAAATATAGAACAGTGGAGTGGTGAATAACTTGCTTATGCAATAAAATCGTTTTACAAAAATAATAAATTACGTATCCACAAGCGTTCATTTCGTCTCCATTTTAATCTTAAACGCCATGATTCGGTACCATCGGTTAAGGCTATAAAAATATAGATAACCAATTTTAAAGAAAGTGTTCAGCATTAAAAAAAGAAGCCTGTACGAAAAAAAACCATTTGTATGCCTCAAAACGTCGCTGTTGTTAGGGTCACTCTCATAAAGAGACCAAAACGTTCTGTACGAAAACATGCGTTATCGTTAAATTTATCCGGTTGAAGTGACTTCTTTTTGTAGGAACATTAAAAAAGTCTACGCAAGGAAACCTCAAAATATTGATGAATTAAAAATCAAAATTAAAGAAGAAATCGCTAGTACACCTTTGGAAGTGATACACCGTGTAGTGGAAATATATGAAGTAGGCTAGAAGAGTGCTTGAGAAGAGATGGCCATCATCTTGAGGACATCATTTTTCAAAAATAAATGGCATGTACTTCAACATAATAAATAATAATTAATTTTTATTCATTTTTTTATTTTATAATTTATCTTTGAAAATAAACCGTTTCACTGCCCCACACCTATACTAACCATTTAACTGAATGAATCATGTATATTTTATATTTTTGTTTCTCAAAACTTAAAATAATTTAATTTATCTTTTAAATGCTGATTTATTATCGCGATAATTTAATGGGTTATAATTGATGTATCGATTCTTATGAAATATGACATACAAAAAATATTAATAAATCATACAATATTAAAATATAAAAAATATGTACAAAATAATCTTAATCTATCGTAAAACTGATTATAAAAAAACACTGCTCTTGTTTAATTCCATTTTGAATATTTATCATCAGTTTTGATTGTTAAAGAAGTCAAATGAGTTGATGTACTTGGCATTTTATTGAAATTTGAACAAGCTTTTAATAAAAATTCATAAACAAAAAACGCAACACTATTGACAAGAAAAGCTCTTGTACTTAACACCCAAAAACCTTGATAAAATCTTGCAATACCACCGTTCTTATAAATCATTTTTGTACAATACCAAAAGCTTTTACATTGTGGATTATCAACGCTATCAAGCATTCTTTGAGTTTTGATTACATCAAAAGGTAAAACTGATGCCCAGCAAGCTATTCCTACAAAGTAAATAAATGTTTACTCAAATAATATATATAAAACTTGTTAATAAATTTATTGGTTCAATTTGAATTTGAATTTTATTTTAATTAGGTCAATTTGGTATCTTTAAAACTAAATTAATTAATAATTTTTACCAGCCATGCCTCCAGCAAATAATTGTATTTGCCACGGAAATGTATCATTTTTTCGTTTTTCATCTGAATAGTTTCTTAATAGACTACAAATATGTTCATATGATAATATGTAAATTCCTGTGCTAGGTACGTCCCTAAACAAAATATCATGTTAATAAAAAAATTAAAAATAAAAATTAGTTATTGTATTTCTCACCTAAGTAATAAGACAAATCCACCTCGGTATAGACCTCGTATACCATTTTTTTTATATATTTCCTGAATAAGTCTTGTTGGATTATTTCGTCCCATTTTTTTATCAGGTGTTACAAATAATGATATATCTGAAGCATTACAATAGTCTTTTTAATGGTTTCGTGCTCAAGACTTAACGAATTATTTAGTACACCCTCCAAATATATTATTACCATGTAGTTATTTTCATCTTGGGGAGTTACCCTCACATTCTACCAGTTACAACTCATTTGTTGACATAGTAATGTCAGAAGTGACAATACAAACATTATCATTATTAAAATATAATTAAATATAGAACTTTAATGTGAACTAAATTAGTTTAAGAAATAAATCATACTTGAAGCTTGAAGAACTGTTTTTACTAATTCCACTGGTATGTTGATTAAAGTACTGAAAACTCCCGCAACACATCCCGATAAAAAACAGTCAACATGCCAATATTTATGTAGACTTTCAGCATTACAACAAAATCGGACTGACCTATCATTTTCTGTTATATCTTCCCTAAAATTGGTTTGAATAAATCGCATAGTGTTCCCATTAACTCCAAACACTACAGAATTTACAATTCCACTGCTTAATACAGGAAACATCATGCCTCTATAAAAACCTGGAATCTTTAACAAAATATTTAAATAATTAGAACCTGTAATATCTTAATTATAAGACCGTTGATAAGCTTATTAAAACTTGTATGCTTTCTCAAATGCAAATATTATTTTCTTAGATATTTAAAAGCAAAAATTTGAACATTTATTAATTTTAAAATATTTATAAAAAAATGTTTAAATCTTATAAAAAGTTTTCCCTTCATCGATAAGCATTTATTGTAATAATAATAATGATAAAATATAATAAATGTTATATTTTATGTATTATAATATACAGAATGGTGTATGAAGTCTTGACAAATCAAATAAATTGAATGCACTGAATATTTTGTATTATTATTTTTTTGTTAAATAGTTTGTAAAGTTAAGCATATTTTTTTATTATTTATACCTAAAACAAATTTCATTTTTTAAATTTTATCCATTTTAAGTATAATGCAATTTTATGGTTACTAATTTTAATAAATATATTATTACATGAGTATAATCTCTTTGGAGATGGATTCAATTCTCTTTCAAATAGTTGTTAAATTTTTAGGATTTTATCGTTTTTCTGAATTTTCTTTAATTAATTAAATTAAAAAAATATATATTATAACAAAAAAGAACCTGTGCGTCAAAGGGTTAACTAGTGTACAATTATAAATTAATAAATGTTCTATAAATCTATAATTTTATCTATTTAAATTTGATATGAACATACACCATGTTTTCGATAAATCTCTCTAAATGCAGGCAAAGGGCTAACGTTTTTTACTTGTTGTACTACTCGGATAGTTTCCATTGGGTGGCCAATACAAGTAGAAACTATGCCTACATATCAGAAAAAAAAATTGAATTACAAAAACATCTAGTTCCATTTGCTAACCTGCTGTCCATCCGGATAAAAAATCACAATACGAAAATACTTCTTTATCGGCTTTGATATTATCTGGAGGATTTGAACTCTGTGTTAAACACAACAGTTTTTTAAACCATGGTTTTGAGTATTCTACTCCGACCAACATGAGACCCGTCGTTGGAATTGTTTTTACTAAAGTTGGCCTCAATCCATTATATAACGATCGTATACCCTGTTCTTTAATTTGTTCCCAAATAAATTTTCGAGAAACTTTTCCAGTCGTACTCTGTAATTTTGATTTAATAACATCAAATGGATATACAGCCACCCAGTTGGCCACTCCAGCAACAGAACCCGATATCATTGTAGCGAAAACGCTACAACCTTCTTTTGATTGTCCTTTTGGTTTTAAAAATTCACGACACCATTCATAAGTACCAAAAAATACTGTGTTTCCGATACTCTCTCTTGCTAGCGTAAAACTAAGTCCTCGCAAAAATCCTTTAAAACCATCAGTCTTAAAGGTTTCTCTAATTACTTTAGCAGCAGATTTTTTATTGACGCCATAATCAGCTTGCATTCGTATCTTTACCAATTCAGTTGGACATAGAACCAAAGAAGTGAGCACCTATACAATCAATAATACTATTAATAATATATATGATTTATACCAAAACTGGTATAAAAAATGCACTGGCTACAAAAATGTAGAATTACGTTCATAAGTGGTAAGTTTTCATAATATTGTTTAGAAAATATTATAAATTAAATAGAAAAGTATTGGAAATATTTATGAAATAATGAAACATGATTTATTATATTTATATTTATATATACATAATTATTACTTATAGATACTTAAAAAAACCAAAAATTTCTACTAGTATATAATATTTCAGCTTGTATATAGTACTACATATCACTTATTTCAGAGGTTCTTTCAAAGCTCCTTCCTTAAGATAGGGAGATACACAAAAGAAATACTTTTTATTCTTTCTAAAATATAACTTTGACAAATGATATAATATATATTAACTTCATCATTAAAAGTTTTATTCTTCATATTTTTCTTTGTAAATACGCTCATAATTTATTTTTAAAATAATCAGTTAATAAAATACTTATGAAATTTTAAAATTAACTAACTTTTCTAATAACATGGATTATTTACCGAAGCCATTCCTCCGGCAGCAGCGTTTTGTAAGTAATTTAGTTTTGTTATGTCTGTACCAACATCCAATTTGGAAGCTACTATTTTTTGACATTGGCCATAAGTACCGAACATGACTGCGGTTTCTGCACAAGTGGATGTCAGTGCAGGTATTGTTCCACAATATAAGCCACGTATACCTTGTCTGTTAAAAATCTGCTTGAGGCACACACCCATATTTTTAAATGACGCAGGGTACAACTGCATTTTCACCTTAACTGTATCTAATGGATGACTGACAAATACCGAAACTCCTCCTCCAGCTGCACCGGCCATTAAGTCAACTTTAAGGTTTTCGTCCATTTTATCAGGTAACATGTGTTAAGTTACTTAAACTATTTAAAATATTATAAATTTCTTCTCATTAAATAATTTTACATTTTTGTACAATTATATACATTGCAAACTGCGGAATAATATAGGTTATCAGTTATCAAAAAAAAAAAAAAAAACATAAATCTTACTTAATTTTATTTACAATAGTAAGATAAGTTCATTTTCCTATGATTGAATATTATAGGAAATTTTGTGTTATTATAAAAACACTTTTATTATGTTAATTTAGTTATTTAAATAAAATATTTCTATTAATATCTATAATTTTCAAAAAAAGTATAATTTTTTTAAATATTCAAACCAAAATTATAAAAATTTATTTGTTTGGCATTTAAAATATGTCTATTAAAAAACTTACTTCAGTTTTTTGTTAGCCAGAAAATAAATATTTATTTTTGAATATTTTTTAGATCTTAAATAACAATAACAAATTTACTCTACACATAAATCTAATTAATTGAAATAAATACAAGATCTGACAAGCCATTGCTATCACTGAACTGAGAAATTAATACAAAATCAACTCAAATAATTACATAAGAAATCAAAGTAAGTTCGAATATGTATTTCATGCATTACTCTTTAAAACTTTACGTAGTAAACAAAAATTGAAAGAGATAAGATAGTGATAACTTTGTTGAGTCGCTTAAATTGTTAAGGCTAAACTTTACTATACACATTAAACATCGAGACTCCCATATAATACATCCCTTCATTCATCCGTATTTTTTCTTTCTTTAGATTTTTTTTATGTTTTGTTTATTGCACAACACTACAAAAATTGCAACTCAAATTTAATTAATTTTTATAATGTTAATTTTTGGGATATAAAAGTCACTTGAGGAGTTGTAACAATAGTAATGATCCTATTACTAATCTGATTGGCATTACATTATCCAAAGGCCACCAAATTGTTTTTGTATTTATATCGTACATTTAAATATAATTTACATTAGCGTATCTTATTTCATCTAGTTTGTCTAATTAGATACACATTCTTAATTTTTGATAACTCTCTAACAGCAATCAATGAAACATTAGATAGTGGAGATGAATTACATTATCTGTTAATAATGAATGTATAAGTGTTCATACAAAGTTACAAGTAGTGCAACTAAGTTTTGTACTAAATCAAGTACTAAAACTAATAGGTAAAATTATAAAATGTTTTAAATGTATTCTTTTTATCAAGTATCCGAATAAAAAATTAATTTATGATAAAAATAATATTTGTTTATCGTACAAAATATATCTTCATAAATATGTCTATTGAATATCTTAGCAAAGTACCATTTATGCAATCTTGTATAGACTAAAATTTTTTGTTAATGTTTAACAAATTTATGTTAAATTAGATAAATATATTGTTTGTAATATAAACTAAAACTTCAGCATAAATTTATAAAAAATGTTTCGTATTTCTTGACTCAGATATAATTTACAATGTAAAAAAAAAACATTTATTACAGAATAATTGTGTTTGGAAATTCTATATTTTCTAGTAGACATTTTAATTATATTTATCGTTCAAATACATAAAAGATCTCACATCACTAAAATATCATTAATATAGACAAAATATCTTGTAATGGGAACACTTTTAGCCCTCCTGAATACATCAATGTAACTGAGTATCCAATAATTAATTTTTTATGTTTTAATAATTTAAAATGATTTTAATTTAAGATATATTACTGAAATTGGTGCTACAGAACCTCAACTAAGAGCTAATGAAGTTTTATTACGATTTGCGAAATACTTTAGACAAATGGTGCGTCAAGGATTACAGTCAATTAATGCTTTAAAACCATTAATATATTATTTTGTACAATGTGATTGGATTATCACAAACTACTTTATCTAGCGCAAAATAAATCCAATAATGGGAAAAAAATTTGATTGTAATTATTTACGTATATTTTTAGCTTCGATGCGAAGCTGAGAAGGTATTGGTTTTACTAAGATGTGTTTTTTTTTTTTTTTTTTTTTTTTTTTTTTTTTCCCCTTTTTTTTT